GACAGGGCTGTGTTCTGTCCCTTCTCCTTTTTAATCTTTACGATTCGCTATGCTTATGATACAATCATAATAGCCGACAGCCAAGAAGCGCTACAAAGACTAATAGATAAAATAAATACTGAAGGAAAACGACTGGGAATGAAGATCAATATAGACAAGATGAAGGTAATAGTGGTTTTCAGAACAGAAATATGCAATTAAGTATAAATGTGAAAAGCAAGAACATCCAAAAGGTCATCCAGTTCAGATATGTCGGTGGTTGGATAACTGAAGATCTAGTTCCAGACTTAGAGATACGTAGGTGAATCGAGCAAGCCAGAACAGCATTCATTATTAGGAGAACCTTGCTAAGCAACAGTGGACTTAACATTTCGATATCGCATTGTACGAGATGACTTTATTGATGACAGCACGCCGGGTGCCGAGCGCTGTGGAAGCACCGCGCTGCCGACCGTCTCGAACTGCATTGAAGGTTTTATCAGTGATAATTTAAAATAATACAAAATATTATTATGAAACAAATTTTATTATTATTTATGTTATTTTATTATAATTATTACTAATAAAATTTATTTTTTTAACAATATTTACAATCATAATATACTGAACAGAACAAACAAGCTTAAATAATTTAATTGTAAATTTGTCGTCAGTTATTTTTATTTTATTTTTTTTCAACTTATTTCTTTTTTAAATGAATACTCTTTCATCCTCCGAAACGAGCCTGCATTCTAGTGAAAAATTTTCCAATGGTTTGTAATAATGAAATTGGCGAGTATTTTTTATTGTAGTTAAAAAAGGTTGAAAAAAGGAAAGTGGGGTTTTTATGTTGCTGTTTATATCACGTTCCAGACTAGCACGAAAAGCTTGTCTTTTTACACTCCCTGCTAAGCCATCACACGCTCCGTTGCCATGAGATGTAGCGAAAAAAGTCCAATCAGCATCAACACCAAAATCATTTTTAGGATTAACTAAATTAATAATATTAGGATTAACTAATAATATTAGGATTAACTACTTAATAATAATTAAAACTAATTTTTTAATCACATAATTTCATAATTCACTTGGCCCATTTTAAATCACAGAAAATATTATTATTACAATTAAAAATTACTAAAATACTAAAAATACTAAATAACTAAAATAACTAAAAAAAACACAACTCAACAAGACTTCAGCTTTTATTTTTAATAATTATTTCATGCTTTGCGTATAAACTTATGTCACGAATAGATAGGAATTACTTCTAAAATGATTTTGTTATTGACTAGGATACGCGAAATACAAATGGAAATCGTAACGGAGCGGTTTTTCTTTTGTCAACTAAAGATGGAGTATTGACTAGTAAATTTAAAAATAATAATTTACAAAATTACCTAGAAAAAATAAATATAGACCATAACAGTTTTAAAAATTTAAATTTGATTATTTTTTTCTAAATTTACTCTGGTAAAAATAATTTAAAAAATTGATAGTATTCTTTATAACATTGTTTAAAAAATTAAAATTTTATTAATAATAATTATAATAAGATAACATAAATAATAAAAAAATTTGTTTTATAAGAATATTTTGTATTATTATTTTAAATTATCACTGATAAAACCTTGCAATGCAGTTCGAGACGGTCGGCAGCGCGTCGCTTCCACAGCGCTCGGCGCCCGGCGCGCTGTCATAAATAAATTCATTTTGACTAAACTAATGACGAGCAGTGAAATTTTCTTCGAGAATCTTAAACTTGAATAGATAAAGCATGTGACCGATAAAAAAACATGATTTTTTTTTACCAAGAAATCAGCTATATTTTCATTTATTAACTTAAAAGTTAGTTAACAATACGAAAATAAACAAATAATTTTAAGTCGTTAATATATTCTTAAAATATAGACATTTGGCCGTGGATGCTAAAAATTTCATAAATTTATCTCTTACACTTGTTGTTAAAATCAAAATTTTAAAAAATCTTTTGGGGATCAAAAAATATATATAGATTAAATTTTTATGATCAAGTGGTAAATAGGGGGTCCAGTTGACTTGATCTTACTCACGTTCAAGCAAAGTTCCAATTTATCGTGCTTGATAATTTCCTTTTTTATTACCAAAAAGGGTTTTGGAGATTTTAGAAATCACTTCAAGAGCCTCATTTATTCTATTGTAAAACAAACCTACAACTTGATGATAAATATATTTACATATATATAAAATATATTTATTTATGTGCTAACCAATGTGCTGATTCTTATTTCAAGTGACCAATTTTCTGCGTTCAGCTGTTTACGAGATTTCCAAATTGCATTCGGACAGAATTTTGAGCGAGATTTTCATTCGCAAACCGACAAAATTCCGAAAACGGAATATCGCTTATTTCAGCCCCCCTACGCTTTGTAACCGATAACCCTTAGGAAACATACGTGGGCCGCCTCTCAAGGTATTAGTTTACACGTTGTTAGTCTTCTATTGTAACGCAATATTTACGAACCAATATATACTCGAAAAGCTAAGTGTCTATTAGTAAACAGCCACTCTCCTTCTGGCCGTCCCTGGCTTTGATAAGGGCGAAAACACCTGTTCGTTCGCAAGTGTTAACAAATGTTTGGCTGACGTGTCAGACACTCGTTCGTAAACAATTAGTAATATTTCCTGGAATATATATAAACTTAGTTCATGGTGGGCATAAATTACGCATTCAAACTATATAATAATAAAAATAACAATAATAATGAAAGCTTTATTGCTTTAATCATCAATGACAATAACATCTCCAGCCTCCTTATTGGCCTGACTTGAGTGCTCGTGACTTTTTTCCCTTTCCAAAAGTAAAAAATTAAACTTAAACTAAATAATTATTTTTATTGCTTTTAACATTACTTACAATAACATTAACAAATTTATGTCGAAAATTAAGCATAATATTAACCGAAGGGAGGAAATTAAGGGCAACAAGAGAAGTAGTATCCAAGTAAAGGTCTATTTAGGTAGAAAAGTAAACGTAATCTTGCTAGCATTTATTTTGCCTACCCATTCGATCCGATATTAAATATGCCATAAATTTGAAAGACACTTCACTGAATCCTACGTGGTGAAAGATTGAAATGAAGATTTCGTGATTTATCATGTCCAAAATTTTGCTAAAATCAAATTAAACTAAGGCAGTCAGCATATTAATATCTGCAATATCGCTGTCACAACCATAACCAGATTGTTTCATGGTAAATGTAGGTTTTTTAGTTGAGAAACTTTTACCTGAGGCGTTTTATACTGGTTATTACAAAAATAAAACGTTTTAGGAGTTTGTAGTTTTAAAATCAAACAAGAAACCTACAAATTAAAACAAAGATATATATACGATGTATGTTCATATACATACGATGCAATTTTCTGACATATACGGCGTTCCATTTAAAAAAATATGATGTAGGCTTATATGTCAGAAAATTGATAGTGTTTTGTTTCATACGTCACTTGGAAACAAACTTGGATACTGACCCTACATTTTGCATTTTTGTTATCTCTAAAAACAAAAAAGTTACAGCCAATTAAAATGTTACCAAGATAAATTGAACGCACGGTACATGTATTAATGTAGAAATAAGTGTAGTGGTTAGTTGGTACGAGGGCAGCGCCAAAATTTCCCGGCCTGAATATGAAAGACACAAAGTAGAGTAACAATTTTTTATTATTTTTCAATATAATCCCCCTTAACTTCAATACGCTTATTACATCTCTTATTAAAAGTTTTCTATGGTGGTAAAGATACGTGGATTATATCTGTGCTTGCTTTGTTGGAACGGACAGACAATTGATTTTTTTTGCACTTGTTTTAAAACATCGTGTTTTCAAAAGAAAATAGATATTTCAAAAGTGCCCCCAGCTTTTTAGATCATTTCGCAGGTTATACGATTTTGAATATTCCACAGAATGTCGGTCTTTTCGTAATATCTACGAGGGCAGCGCCAAAATTTCCCGACCTGAATATGAAAGAAACAAAGTAGAGTAACAATTTTTTATTATTTTTCAATATAATCCCCCTTAACCTCAATACACTTATTACATCTCTTTATTAACAACCGAATTGTTTTAAAAAAATATTCTTTTGGTTTGTCTGCAAAATGAGCTGAAACAGCCTCTTTTAACTCAACTTCGCCGTTAAACCGGCGTCCACATAAGTCCTTTTTCAAATATCCAAGCAAATAATAGCCGCTGGGGGCCACATCTGGACTATAGGGAGGAAGATCTATCTGTCGGAAGCCACACTCTAAAATGGCAGCTTGTTCAACACCAGCACTATGGACACGGGCATTATCGTGCAAAAGACGCACGCCTCTGGTCAATTTTCCTCTACGCTTTACACGTATGCAGACTCGCAATTTACGTAATAATGTTGCGTAATATTTACTATTGACAGTGATATTAGTTTCTTTAAAATCTATCAAAAAAATTCCTTCACAATCCCAAAAGATCGTAGCCATCACCTTTTTTGTCGACTGGCAGACTCTGAATTTTCTTGGAGGTGCTTCACCCTTACGACGCCACTCCATTGATTGTTTTTTCGATAGAGGGTTATAATAGAGAACCATAGTTTCATCTCCCGTCACAATAGTTTCTATCACAGGCTTCGGTTCCGACCCACAGAGTTCCAAAAAAGGCCGCGCACACTCTACATGCGAAAACGTTTTGCCCATTCTTTCACTACAGAACACGAAGGAGAACTTTGGCCGTACACAACATTCAGCCTTTCATTAATAATTTTAGGAGCTAACCGTTCTTTTGTCAAAAATCTTTATGACTGCTCTATACTCAATTTGCGTTATTTGCGACATTTTTTCGGACACGTCTTATTTAAAATCCTGTCAATAAAAAACTATTTGACGCAGCCTACTGATATTTAAAAGAAGACAAAGTTTTATCGTGATACAGGAGCTGCATCTATGTCAGGCCGGGAAATTTTGTCGCTAACCTCGTAAGTAGCCCCTTTACCGGTTTTCGTGTTTTTACAGGTTTGGTTCCAGAATCGACGCGCCAAGTGGCGTAAAACGGAAAAATGTTGGGGCAGGAGTACCATCATGGCGGAGTACGGCCTGTACGGAGCCATGGTGCGCCACTCATTACCGCTGCCCGAAACCATCTTGAAGAGCGCCAAGGAGAACGAGTGCGTGGCGCCCTGGCTTCTAGGTAATCCTTAGGCCGTATGTCCACTTTATCCATCAGAACAAGCCGGTAACATGATCGAACTAGTGAAGAAACTCACCTAAATTTCGTTGTCGTTGCCGTTCAAGAATATTTCGACTGACCCGTTAATGTTACCTGCTTGTTTTTTCGCAACTGTATATTCGAAAGACATGCCGGCTACATTATCCACTTTATTTAGTATTATTGTGTTTTTATTATCGAATAAAGTTAACTTTTCTACGCAAACAATCTGTCAAGAATCAATCTAAAGAATCGAGAAACATTGACAGTCCTTATTACTCAATACTCAATATATTTATTGCTTTCACTAACAACACAAACGAACAAAATGCTATAAATGCAATGCAAAATCACTTTGACAAAAAGAATGAGTATAAAATGAAATGAACAAACATACTTAAAAAGATTAATAAGACAAAGACGAGATAGAATATCAATGACTTCCTATTCATCAATCTTCATGAAAGCTTCAAACTCTTTAAGTGCGTACAATGTATTTCTAAAAAGTAATTCCTTTAATTTTGATTTAAAGCTATTTGTTGATGTACACAGCTTAAATTTATTTGGTTATATAATCAATTCAAAAAGTCACTTTGTCCAAAACGAAATGCATAAAATAACACCAACAGACATACATGCAAAAACTATTAATAAAACAAAGACGAGAGATATATTAAAATAAAACAAAAAAGATTGAAAAAATATAAAAGTTCATAACATAAAAATATCAAGGATTTTCTATCTATCAATCTTCATAAAAGCTTCAAACTATTTGACTATGTAGAATGTATAGCTAAAAGTAATTCCTTAAAATTTGACTTAAAACTGTTTTAACAATGCAAAATCACTTTGGCTTAAAGGAAGCGCATAAAGTGACATAGATAAGCTTACATACAAAAACTATTAATAAAACAAAGACGACAAAAAGATTAAAATCAGACTAAAAAAAAAACATGAAAAAGTAGAAAATTACAGAGACGAAAACATAAAAAGATTAAAACATCAATGACTTTCTATTTCTATTCTATTGAAACTCTTTGAGTACGTAGAATGTATCTCTAAAAGCCAATTCCTTCAAATTATGTACACAGTTTTAAGTTATTTGGGAGTAGATTAAATAAGCAACTACCCAAATAGAAATAAAAATTGTTCTTATTTAATAGTATGTTGTTCCTGCTTCGAGGGTTGAATGAGTGACGATTGCCTAGAGATTCTAGTTTACTTTTAGGTATAAAAATAAAAGTAAGTAATTTAAATATAAAAACTGAAGCGTTAGTTAAAATTCTATGCGACTTAAATATTCGTCTACATGGTTGCCTGTAGGGAATATTATAAAGCAAACTAACCAAAACTAGAGTATAACTAACTAATCATGCTATGCATTGCAATATAATATACCCTCCTATACGCCTTCTTATTGAGTCTTTTACAGAGACTGTCACTATGCCCTGTACCAATCTAAATTCTTTTAATTCTTCCTTTTTAGTAATAGACATTAGTTTTCATAATCGAAAATATCGAAAAACATTTTTTATTTCGTCGTACTCATCAAATAGCTTCATGTCTTCATTAAGTACATTGTTATTCTAACTTAATAAGGGTATTAACAAAGGATAACATTTCAGAAAAAGATAAATAAAATAAATCTAAATAAAACAGGAAAATTTTGCTTTAAATCATTTGGTTAGTTGGGCAGTATCTCCAGTAAGCCCACTCAAGTTCTTGAGTCTCACCAATGTAAATCCCAAATAGAATCACATATTTTGGCAGGATCTGCCTTGAGTACCTATCTGTTGTTATGCTTCCATTATTAATAACCACCAAGTTAGTATAATAATAAATTAAGCGTTGTTCAAGAAAGATGGGAATTTGTCTCAACTTCAAAGCAGCACTCACCTTATTTCTGGTTAACTTTAGAAACTCCAATTATGAGTTAATTTGTTTAATTGCTTAACTGATCGGGTAAATTTGATGGACATTATAAAGATATATGAGCTCATCGTGACGAGATAGCCAAATACTTATGCCTTGACTTCATTATCTTCTATTCTCATTATATTTTTACTCCAGAGGAGTATCGCTTTCGTTTATATTTCTTCATCTGAAGCTGTTTTGGTTAGTTTGTAACTCTCAGTTATTTATACTCTGCGTAAGTTTCTATTTTTTCTAAGTTGTCCAACTTTTCTCTATTATCTGCTTTATACAGAATATGATAATTCTCAAAGTTTTTGTAAGACTATAACAAGAGTGTTGCTGATACAGAATTAATACAAAAGATATTTACTGTACTTGGTGTTATCATTGAGAAGTCCTTCTAAATTGTACACTAGTTATCTGCATTTTTTTGTAGTCCATCTTGAAATATACATTTTATGTGACACGTATAGCTCCTTTCTGGAGTCTAAAGTCTTGTAATTGTAAGCGTGTTGACTGCTTTGTAATGAAAGAATCAATCAAAGAATCAATTTTTGCTTGAAGAACCGATACGACGATAGGATGTTGTTTATTATCAAATTTTATTGCGAAAACTGAAGTTACTTGAAGACCGTCAAATGAACAACCAAAAGTCAAGCGAATCAAAATGTCAACCTGTGAAAAAGCATGTGCAATTAGGATTCCCGAAACATAGTATAATATGGAGCAAATATAGGGCAAATATGGCAAATTTTTATGTTGTATTCTCTATATGATTGGCTCTATAATTAAAGGCTTAGTGTTTTTTTAAATTTGAGCCCCTAAAAACTAAAAGAACTTCCTATTAAAAGTTTCTTTTAGTTAGTTACAGAAGCTAACATACAGAACGGCCCTTTTTAGTACACCAAACATTCGACACTCCCCAAAAATGCTGGGGTCCCTCGTACCGTAACACTGAGCGCCCCCTTTCCGATGTCACTTCAAACACGATCGATCTACGTAAATTCGTGGTTTGAAAGCGCGCTACGTGGCGGCGCCACTGCACTAGCAGACGAAAATTAGTCGTAGATTTCGTAGCAATGGGCGCTGAAATAATGGCGCCGTTTTCCGGAGCGCGTGCTCCACGTTGCCAAACTTACGAGTTTTTCCCTAATTCTTAATTGCGGCGTAAACAATGCACGTACCTTTTAATGAGCTTTTCGAAAAATTTGTTTCTACTTTTATGAATAATTCGCAAAGTATGCAGTGATATTTATTTAAATAGGTGCGTGTTTACGTCTATCGCCTGGGTAAAGTTCGTTTCTACTGATTCACGTCATTTATCATGTTTTCCGATGTAGACGATGAGTAAACTGAACTGTTTTCACAACAGAATAGGATATTTTTAGATATTGTAATGAAAACGATACACGTCATTCGCTTAAAGTGTATAACAAACAAAATAAAGCTTCTGATATAAGTTGCTACGACATTCTTGTACAGAAAAATACAAAATACCTTTTCCTTAAAGGTTACCTCTTATTTATAATACTTTTAGGTGGCAAAAAATTACTAAACCTATTTTTTTTTTGTTAAACTTGAAGTTGTTGTTTTTCGTTTTAAAATTATTTTTTTTATAAATTACGGTATAAAATTATTATTTACACTCAAGATTCGAAATATCTTCAATATCAAATATCTTGTTACCAACAATTAAAACTGGCTGATGAAGTTGGATAGTTCTTAGCAATACCTTCTGAAAAGTGTCCAGCCTATAGAATCGATAAAGGCAAAACTAAAATTAGTACGAAAAGAAGAGCAATGATTTGGGATACGCAGCGGACAATAAAATGTATACAGCAAAAACTAACACTGTATTTGTGGACATTGTAGAAAACTAATGAAACTCAACGCGAAGCCAAGTTAATTTTTACGTTTACCAGCTTTCAACGCATTCACTCTAAAGTAGATGAATTTGCTTCAGTTTACATTAAAAAAAAAAACAATTTAAAGAACTTTGTAAATTAAACCCTAAGGATAAGTAAGCTGGTAAAAGGTACACAAACAAGGTACAATTTCGATTTATTGAAGTTTTAATTATTTGAACCTATAATCATCATGCCATTTAGACCCAGAGCTGTATAATTTTCCTTCATTTCGATTCTATTTCTTGCTACGAGATAAGATTTAAGATAATTTAGTAATTCACTATTTATGAATCTGTGTGGTCTTTGGATGTGTGATATTGAAATTACAAAAGTCTCTGTCCTAAGCAAATTAATATTTTTAGATTCGGTTAGTCTTGAGTAGCTGAGATGAAGATTTTAAGCTAGACTTCGCCGTTTGAGATGTGTAACTATATTAGTTTGTATTGTGCAATTAATTTGAAATATCTCAATAAAGACTATTATTATTATTATTATGAACAAGAAATTATAAATACATTGGTGGATTAAAAAAAAAACTTCGACCCCTGGTCATGATCAGGTAACAGTTCAAAATATACTTAATGCTATGGATAATCTTGAAGTAATATTAGTTGAGGTAGTCAACGGGGTCCTGGTGAGAAGTGTTTTTTGAATTAAAAATTAATAAAATCAGTTCTATATTTAAGTTTGGTTTAGGTTAAGGTTAGGTTAGGTTCGGGTTGGTTAATAATGTTTCGACTGAATTAGATAAGGGGAACTTAGTAATAGAATTGTTTATAGAACTTCAAAAAGCTTTTGATGTGGTTAGTAACCATTTTTTATGGAAAAAATTATGTATTTATCTGATAGACTACAGTATGTAAGAGTAAATAAAAAACTTTGAATTGACAATAAGTTGGGTATTTTTTCTAGTAAAATTACTAAAATGATTAGTGCAGTGTATAGAAATGAAAACTACCTGTCTTATAATACTAAGATTAATCTATACAGTTATTTTTCATTCAATTATAACAGATTAACACAAACAATTACCCATACAAGAATTTAGGGATCTGGAAGCTGGGTAAAGTATTGCGCTTGGAATGTAGACTTACGTATAGCATTTTACATAGAACTCAAGAAACAAATGTAATATTAATATACTACAGAAATAAAAGAAAA